TTTAGTAGAGATTAAAATCAGATTTTTAGCAAATTTTGATAAAAAATAAATGATGAAACGTGTGGTTAAAAAGTTGCGATCTCATGAAATACATGATTAAAATTAATTGTTGATTTTGGATTAAAGGAACTTACTTAAAAGAAGTCTTGAATTAAAAAGGTCAGTTAAAAGTTTACATCATCATCCCGATACTAGATGGATTTAGCTAACATGCTAATTACACACAAAAAAAAAGAAATATATTGAATTTAGAATCGTGCTACTTTTGCCTCGAACACTGTCGCGATCGCAGAGGATTAGCCCTTGCAATCACAAGTTTTACTTTCTTCCCTGTTGCATTTTGGCCTTGATTTCGTTTTTCAGTTCAAATTTCTCCTAGCTGCAATTAAAGCCCTTTATCTTCCAATCAAGTCATTTTGGTCCCCTTATTCTAAATAATGCTCAAATAATGTCCTTTCACCAATTTTTCATTCCTCCCACCGGCAGGCATTCAACATCGAGTAGACAGTCTAAATAAGTATACAAATTACACTTATCGTTTACTCCCAAACTTAAATATTTTGTTCGTTCTAGAACAAAGTTACCTACTTAATCAAATAAAAAAACACATAATTACCAAAATAAATAAATAACTTGTCATTTCGCTTCACGTTTTGGGATTGTATGCATACCTCATGAAAAGCTTCAAAATTATTATACCAGATCATTTGACGCATTCAATTTTTTTAGTAAATTTTGATAAAAGTTGATAAAATCCGTGATTGAAAAGTTAATAAAATTTGTGGATCTCATAAATGTGGGATTTGAAAAAAAAAATTCGAAAAAATGAGGACAAAACAGAAATTTGGTATTCAATCGGCAACTGTGCATGTGTATTTTTGTGCGCACACGTAATCTAAAATTTACATATACTTAGGAGGGACTGGCATTTCATTTTAATTTATTTTTTCGTTTGCAAGGTAATTTCTTTGAAAACTACCAATTTTATCCTCTCTTTTTGTTTGTTAATTCTTCATTTGCGTCGATTTACAAGACTTTTAAAAATATTCAACAATGATGTACATCGTACGTTGACATGTGGCTAGTATTATTAAATGAATAAAAAATAAAAAAGTGAACAAAGGGCCATACGTATTAATTAAGAATAAAACTATTTGTATCGAATTGTCCTTACCGAAAATGTTACACCATTTCACATGTTAGCGGAGCCCGCGTAAATAAAAAAAAAAACTCCCAAAAATATGGTCCCCACATCCTATTGTGAGTATAGGTAAAAAATTATGTAAAAAATATTCGGTACAGGTAGCATTGCCCATTAATTAATCTAAGAATTAAAATGGAACGTACATTATGTATTGAATCTAAGGATTCAATGTCGAATATTTTCACACCTTGTTTTTAGATTAATGATATTTAACAACACTGATACTATACAATCAATTTAGGTGGTGTTATTTGATATGCTTAATGAAAGATGAAATTAAGTGACTCGTTTAATTATACTTCAATGTTATATTAGTGTTATCTACACTGATATTTTAATATTGTTGGTGCGAAATAACGTTACTTATTTTTTATAATTCTTAGTCCAACTACTCACACGTAAATATCTTCTAATTTGTTAACGTGTCTATTCAACTTTATTAATGAAAATGACCCCCTTATCAAATCTTGGACAGCACCAAAATAATCAATTAGTGGTGAGCCCCAATAATGCTTTTCTGTCAATTAATGGTAGCACCATTTTTTCTAACTTGTCCCACACGGAATGGGACTAAGAATAAGAAACGTGATACCTTCTCAATCTCCCCAATAAAAAAACAATCTACATCTAATTTGACATAGAGAAAAAAAAAAAATTATTGTGTAGAAGAAGATTAGGAGGCGAACCCATTTTTCGAAACACTAAAGTTTTACAGGTTCCCCTGTATGATGATGCATGGCAGGAAGAAGAGGAGATACTGAGTGCTGTATGTGTGGAGATTTTGGTTTTTCTTCAGAGCTCTTCCGTTGCAAAGGATGTCAGTTCAGATCACAACACAGGCAAGTTTTATAAAAAATGCAAATATTATTTTTTTGGTTGAACCATTGCTTGGATGTGTTATTTGGAATAAATTTGAAGTCTTAGTGTACAAATATTTCTTGACAATCATATGAATCTTGCAGATATTGTAGCAATATATATCCAGATGCTGATTTTTATGGCATCTGCAATTGGTGCCTGAGTCAAAAGGATGAAACAGCAGCAGGGAAAGAACAAAAGACTTGGAAATCTTCAGGATCGATCAAAATCAAAGGCAAAGATTATGTGAACAACAAGAAAAAGAAGAGTCCGGAGGACAAAAATGGAGAAAAAACCAGAATCATTATCAAGAAACAGAAGTCCTTGGATTTATCGCCTTTATCAGGAGCAAGAAAGAGGATTACGACAGACAATGGTAAAATTTCGCGGAGGTTGAGAAGGACAAGATCAGAGGAGATAACAAATGGTGGGATCGAAAAACATGTTACTAGAAATAAGGTGGTCAGAAGGTATAAGCATTTAGATGAAGTCACTAGCCAGTCGATCAGACGGGAAAAATTGTAAAATCCGTACTTGTTATGGATCAATTAGGCACGGTTATTTCTGTGGTGGTAATCGATACCATTTTATTGGGGATCTCAACAATTATTTAGCCTCGGTATGGATACAATGTACAAATTGGTTTATAAATTCGATAAAAGTTAAATATTAATTTCAATTACTCATTTGAAACTACTAATTATTATCCACACATTTCATGGATCGCTACTATTCCTCTTACTACTCATATTTATAAATCATTTATAAGTTTGCCCAACAGAAGTTCTGTAATCTTTGTACATATTTAGGAGAAATTATAATATCCTTATAGTTTGAAGTCAAATATTAATTTTAATAGCACATTCTCAACTACTACCTTTTGTTATGTGTTTAATTTGGATGAACTTCAGTCCATGGGGCAAACATAAGGCTAGTAACCTTGCAACCTGTTTAATGTATGTGAGCTTCGGCTCACGATGTACGAAGGATCGAGAGATCTTCATATTTCAGATCTTTTAATCTATATGCAACAATGGACTGAGCAAAAATAAATATAGTACATGTTGCATCATCAAGATAATGTTGCTCCTTTCCACTTTCATTTTTAGCACCATCTTTCCATGTCCTTAAAATGTTGAAGAGTTTCTCATATAGAGTAGTTCTTCATGATCCATAGTCTTGTAGGTAAAGAACGATTTGTACACATGTTGCGAGTTACATTCAGAAACGTTCGCAAAAGAGATTAATGTCTAGCACCTCATAAAAAAGGTTATCATGTTCTGTTATATTGGCTTGACAATTATGTCTCTTGACATTCTTTTGCTTTCGAAAATCCTTGGACTGATGTCTGTCCTTATCATAATTATAACAGTTGCATTTGAACTTCTTAGCAGCCTTTGATGTCTGTTTGGCCTTCGCCATTGTACTCTCTTTTTTTTTTGTTACCAATGGAACCTCATTCTACTATCTTGGTCTTTGATTCTATTGAATGAAATACACCAATCATCCTTTTAGATTTGCGATTGTCTTTTTCTATTCTTAGTCAGAAGTTTTATTTCTTTATGCTTATGTTTTAAATAATCCTTGAAGTCTTTACATAATGATAAAAATTTTAAAATAAGTTCAATAAATTAAAATGATTCTGTTGACACACTAAAAGTGCAGTTCAAATTAAGTAGCCCAAAGAGTGAGGCCCAATTGGGGAGTCCAGGATAAAGGCTCAAATAAGATTATTGGTGAATACAGAGAGAGCCCACGAATACAGTGACATCATCGCCCTAGCCTACAAGACGTCTAGAATCTGAGCGAATGAAGTGCTTTACGGTCGCCCAGAGCGATGACCTCGTTCTCGCCCAAACTTTCGAGTTGCCCAGAATCTTAACACATAAGATATTATGGTTATCCAGAATAGTAGTTATTGAAGCAGTTATCGAGCAGACTTATCACATTTCACGATTCAAGGAGCCCATTTGAAGGCGGTTGAACAACAAAGAGTAATGGTAGCAGTTAGAGATGACAGTTCCACGATAAGTTAGCCACCATGAAGAAAGTGGGTAGTTATAAAGCAATCAAACAGTTTCCAAGCGGTTTGTCACGAAAAATTATCATGGGAATATAAAAGGAAGAAAAGATTAGAGGAAAGAACCCCGAATCAAACACTCTCAAATAGAGAATATGTAATTTCAATTTCTTAGATTAANTGACAGTTCCACGAGAAGTTAACAACCATGAAGAAAGTGGGTAGTTAGAAAGCAATCAAGCAGTTTCCAGGCGGTTTGTCACGAAGAAATCATCAAGGCAATATAAAAAGGAAGAAAAGACATAGAGAAAAGGACCTCGAATCAAACACTCTCAAACAGAGAATATATAATTTCAATTTCTTAGATTAACTTTAACTATCCCTTTTCAGTACTCGTGTGCTTGCGCCCCTTGGAGACATTCTGTTTATTTTCAATTGTAACTCTCATCAATAAAGCACCCCTTTTTGGGACTTTATCTCAAGAGGTTTGTCCCTTACACAATCGTTTGAATTCTTTTTTAATTGTTAGCGACTACCCGCGCGAAACAATTTGGTACGCCTAGTGGGATATTGGTGTTTAGTATTGAAGATACAAAAAGTGAAGTATTATGCCTCATAAACATTATAATAAGGAACCAACAAGTCATGGAGTAATCCAGTCTGTAATCGAGCGATATGAGGAGCAGCAAAACTCTCCACGAACAGAGGGACAGAGTCAAAGCAGTTACAGTCGTTACGAACCAATGACAAAGTTGAGTCCTCAAACTATGCGTGCATTGCTTGGAGAACTCACACAGGATGTCGTTGAACAGTTAAATCTACGAAATGTTCATAATATGGAAAGATTTACGCAAAGTGGGAATGCACATGATGACAACATGGCCAAACAATTGAATACATTAAATGAGATAATGAACAAGTTAGTAGGCCAAATTGTCAGCCAGTTATGCCTATTACAAACCACTTTCAAACCAGGACAATTGTGGGCCATAATTCACCACATAATTCTTCTGGTTTGAACTTAAATCAAGGATTAGAACAGCCATTTGGTCCATCTACTTCAAACCGAGGGGGTAATGGAACGCCAAACGTGAATGGTGGTAATGGGATTACTAACCTCGGAGGTAATTCGATTATAAGAGATAATGTCCTGAATGATGGACAGAACGCCCCGCGCCTTAATGATGGTTTGAACACTCAGTTTAATGGTAATAATGGCCCAAACAATGATAATTTTGTTGCCAACCAAGGACCAAATATTAGGCCTCAAGCGAATCAACCATTAAACCAACTGGTAGGAATTCCATATGATCCCAATGTCATGTTGAGGAATCGAATCATGGAGATAGTACAGGATCAA